TCCTCCTCCTCCTCCTCCTGCTCCCCCTCCCCCTCCCCCTCCTCTTCCTCCTCGTCCCTTTCTTCCTCCTCGTCCGTCTGTTCTTCCATCTCCGCGTCATCCTCCTCATCATCCTTATGTTCCCCTTCCTTCTCCTCCTCCGACTCTTCCGTCTCCTCCTCTTCCGTCTCCTCCTCCTCCTTTCCCCCCCCGCTCAAATTCCCAGTCTTCATCCTCGTTTTTCCTCCTCATTCCTCCGTTTTTTTTTCCTTTCCCCCCTCTCCCCCTTCTCTCCTCCTCCCACCCCTCCTTCTCCGCTCCTGCTCCTCTCCTCCTCCTCCTCCTCGCCCTCCTTTTCTACTCTCTACTCGTTTCCTCCGTCATCGCCTCCATCCGTCTTTCCCCTTTCCTCTCCCTTTTCCTCCCCTCCTTTTATTCCGTCTCCGTCTCCCGTTTCCTTTTCCTCCGTACAGCTGTGGCCTCTAATCTTCCTTCTCCTCATCCTGATTCCCCCCTCATCTCCACCGCCCCCTCCTCCTCCGTTCCTCCTCCCCTCCTCCTCCTCCTCTCGTCTCTCCTCTCCGTATCCTTCTCTTTCGTCTCCTTCTTCTCCATCTCCTCCTTCTCCTTTTCCCCCCACCACCTATTCCTCCTCCTTCTTTGCCTCGTCCTCACTCCTTATCTCCTCCTCTCCTCCTCCTCCTCCTCCTCCTCCTCCTCCTCCCCCTGCCCCTTTTTGCCCCTGCCCCTCACCTCCTCCAACTCCCATCCTCCTTTTTACCCCCCCCCTCACCGTCCGTGTATTCCTCCTCCTTCTTCCTCGTTTCTCATTGTTTCCTCCCCCTCCTAATTACTTCATCATCACCAATTCATCATCATCATCATCATCATCATCATCATCATCATCATCATCATCGTCATCATCATCATCAGCATCATCATCATCACCACCATCATCATCATCATCGTCATCCTCATCTTCATATGCATCCTCATCCTCATCCTCATCCTCATCCTACTCCTCCTCCTCCTCCTCACCATCATAATAATCATCATCATCATCATCATCATCATCATCATCATCATCATCATCATCATCGTGATCAGCATCACCATAATCATCAGCATCATCATCATCAGCATAAGCATCATCAGTATCATCATCATTTTCATCACCATCATCATCACCATCATAACCATCCGTATTGTCATCATCATCATCATCATCATCATCATCATCATCATCATCGTCATCATCATCACCATCATCATCATCATCAGCATCCTCATCATCAGCATACTCATCCATATCCTCCCTCCTCCTCCCCCTCCTTCCTCCTCCTCCTTCTCTTCCTGCTCCTCCTTCTCCTCCTCCTCCTCCCCCTCCTCCCCCTCCTCTTCCTCCTCTTCCTCCTCCTCTTCCTCTTCCCACTCCGCCTCCTCCGTCTCTCTCTCCTCCTCCTCCTCTTCCTCGTCGTCCTCCTCTCCTCCCCCTCTCCCCTCTCCTCCTCCGCCTCCTCCTCGTTCCTCCTCCTCTCCTCCTTCTCTCCTCCTACTCCTTCTTTTGTTTCTCTTTCCTCCTGCTCGTTTCCTCATCC